CCAGTCCAGTCCCGTCAGTCCGCTGGGGTATACCCCAGCCATTGTCTGTTTTCAGGCTCATTCCTGACTTGCACATTTTGGAGTACGTGCGTTGGGAGCTGCGTTGTGCCATCTTGCTCCCCCCTTCTTCCTCCATCTCCATCTCTGTCACTAGCGGAGCACCACACCTGGTGGGTCCGCCACAGAGAGAGAGAGAGAGAGAGAGAGAGAGAGAGAGAGAGAGAGAGAGAGAGAGAGAGAGAGAGAGAGAGAGAGAGAGAGAGAGTGCCCGGGACGGACATCAAGACGCAAATGGAGATTTTCATAGTAAATTCTTACAAGTCCTACTGTCCTAGTACAGAATTCTTGGCCTGCGTGGCGAAAACAGCAGTGATAGCTCTCCTCCTTGATCCTGAAACTGACACAGAGGTGATTCGTCCGTGTACCACATCTGGATTACGTCAGTTTTCATACGAGGAGGAACAGAGGTGTCACTCAGCGCTTTTGACTCTGAGTTCATCCGTCCCCGGTACGTGTGTCCTGGTTGCATGCATTGGGTAGTTTTTTTGCATCGTGTGATGATTGAGAGGGAGGGAACAGAGGTCTGCCACCACTATGTGTCGACGTGCAGTACATCATGCATGCATGGTACGGGGAAGTAGATATACAGAGGTTTGTTTGGTATATAATGTGGTATTCTGACAGTTTTTTTGGCGAATGCAACTAGTAAGTGAAAAGAACTAATGTCCAGGGGAAGCAGACAGCTCAGATTCTCGAACACTCCAAGACACAGCCTCCTGTCTTCTACCCATGTTCTCGTTTCTTTTTTTCTTTTGGGGTAACTTCGGCGCAGTCACGAAAACAGTTTGTAATTGCACTTCAGACAATCCCGCGGATACAACACACCCCCACGCGACCCCACCGGACCCGAAACGTGGGTCATATACATTCAGCATTACCGACCCTTTTGCCTCGAGTGCAATTACAAACTCAAACCATGACTGCGCCGTAGTTTTCTCTTTTCTTTTTTTTTTAATAAAAAGTCCAGCTTGTTGTAGATGTTAGCCACCAGGAGGCATATGATAGTCCCTTCAGCAGTTGGCCATTTGATAATCCACAGGAATGATTTTCTACGCAGGCCCCCTCTGAGACTCCCTCCCACACTTTATACTCATCATTACTGTCCCTGGCGCATTCCTACTCCCAGAGTCCCAGAGTCCTACCTTACTACGTACTGTTTTAACCACCCAGGATGATCATCACCCTTTTTTCTAGTAACCTGCCGAGGAATCGGCACTCATCAGGGCAAAGCAGGTCCTCACCTCAACAAAAGTCTACCGACCAACACGATGACGTCCTAGTCGTCCCGCACCACCACCGTCCGATACTTATTCAATATGAGCAAAAACATAAATTTTTGAATATAGATTTTTGAATATCTATATTAGATCTCTATAATTATCTCTGCTATGAAAAAAAAATATCTACTTTCAAAACATCTGCAACGACATAAACAGCCACCTAGTACAGTCGCAGACAGTTGCCCCCCTCGTTCCGGCGTAGTTTTGGAGGCGGTTTTTTTAACTTTTTTGGCTTGCTCCAGATCCACCGTCCTCACAGGAAACTGGAAATATCTAGGGGTGGCCGTAGGCCGGGTCGGCCTAAACCCTCGGCCTGTCACGAACGCATCTATTGAAGCGGCAGACCTTCCCGAAGTCACAATCCCAGTCCCCTCAGCAATTCCCATAAACACATCTACGGTGGCAGCACTTCGGACGTTGACCCGGGCAGTCCCAGTCAGAATGGCACCCCCCTCCTCTGCAATAGGGACCCTGGCATCCACCAGGACCACCACCACCGCTACCACGGAGCCGGCGTTCAGCCTCCTCTCCTTCGCGGATGCTCTGGGGATCGTCTCTCCCCTGAACCAGGAGCACAGCCACCACCAGGAGGGTGATGGCCAGCAAACAAACTATGGCCGGCTTCTTCATGATGCTCTTCTTGCCTCGAACTACTTCTTCCGCTTCTCGCAGACAAGATAGGTGGCTACCTGCTGCTCAGCACGCACGCACGCATGAAGCCACACAAACGGCAGACAACATCACAGCTTTTCTTTAAGAACGGTGGTTTAAAAGTATCTATGCTATAGAAAGTATCTATGCTGAGGTCCGTGCATGCTCAGCTATTGTCGCCCTCATGCAGGCTGATGCAGCATCTTTTCAAGGGGGAGGTAAAAGACGGTCAATGCGACTCAAGCAAGCATAACATACAAGCCATGCACGCTGGCAGAAACGAAGATTGCCGGAGGAGGAGGGGGCATAGAGAGCAAGGGGGGAGAGGGAGACAGAGCTAAGGAACGTGCAAAACAGACACCCACGCACCGCATCCACAAACGCGCGCACACACACACAGACACACACGAGACTCCGACGAGAGAGAGAGAGAGAGAGAGAGAGAGAGAGAGAGAGAGAGAGAGAGAGAGAGAGAGAGAGAGAGAGAGAGAGAGAGCTGACCTTAACGACAACGAGAGAAAGAGCTGACTTCAACGACAACGAGCGTCAGACTATTCGGAAAGCAGTTTTCGAGATCTGGGAGAGGGAGTCGAGGAGGTGTCAGGAGATGGAATACGAACAGGATGTAGAAGAAGGCGGAAACTTGACCCTCTTGCTGCCAGTTGCTGGTTCTTCGGTCAGATCACGGTGTCTGCTCTCGGAGCTCTCTCTCTTTCTCTCCCCCGCTGGGAAGTGGGCAGGAAATGCATATGGTACCGCCAAATTCGCCAATGCCTCCTTTATAGGTTCATATTTCACAGTACAGACTGCAGATTGACCACAAGAGCCAGAAGGGTTTTGCGGGGAGGGAGGGGGTGTCTTGGCATGCCTTTCAATGTATTACATTTCTAAACGAGGTCCATTATTTCTCAACGACTGTATGTGGTCGTGATTCTGTGTGTGTGTGTGTGTGTGTGTGTGTGTGTGTGTGTGTGTGTGTGTGTGTCCCGCCTGCGATTCTGCCTCCGTGTAGCCATGTGCTGTACATACATTTGGGCCTCGTAGTGGTCCCCATACATTCAAACTCTAATTGATGACTCCATCTGCATGTCCCCGATGCCGTCCGATCTGGCGTCCTCCCATGACGAAATGCGCAGAAAAAAAACGTCTGAGGGCATACTCACACCGGTCGGAGCTCCCAACGCAACCTGAGCCTGGAGAGGGAAGCGTGAGGTTATACATCCAACGACAGCAAAATACGAGCTCCCAAAATGTGCCACGTGGACACAGGGCTGAGCCGCTGAGGATATCAATCATACAACGACAGCAAAACTCGGACTCCCAGAATGTGCCACGTGTGCACAGGGCTGAGGATATCAATCATCCCTCCCAGATTTCGATGGGGTCGGGAATCTACACAGCACTGTGGTGGTCCGGATGCACTCAAATGTTGGATCAACAGGAACGTATCTGGGCCGTTGCGCGGTACAGATACATGTAGAATGCTGAGTAGTGCAGCCAGGCCGGATGGTCTGAAATGGACAGAGAAATGACGCTACCTTAGGCAGCGTATGGACGAAAAAGGAAGAATAAACAGACTGATGGATCCTTTCCTCTCTTTTCTTTCTTGTTTTTTTTTTCAGAGTATGCTCTCATTCTGAGGGCATACTCACACTACGACTACCTGGGCTGGACTTAATTGCAGCCCGCTACATCAAGGTCGTGATAATTGGTAGAAGGGCTGCCCAAAGTTCAGCCTTTTGGCCGTTTGGTACTAGTAAGGGCCCAATGTCGTCCATCTGGGGTACTATGGGCCCACGAGTCACTCCAAAGCACATAAATAGCACCAGATTCATTTTGATGTAGAAGAGGCTGAGGGTGGTACCGCTGCAGGATAGAATGAGGCCCACGTACGGTGTTTTGAAAAAGAAGGGCCCTACCGGTTCATGCATCTGGCGCCAATCAGAGCCAGATTCATTTTGATGTAGAAGAGGCCTAGGGTGGTACGGCTGAAGGATAGAATGAGGCCAGGCCCACTGAGGCCCACGTACCCTATTTTGAAAAAGAAGGGCCCTCCCGGTTCATGAATCTGGCGCAAAAACAGCACCAAATTCTTCAACCGGTAAGTACAGGCCAAGGCAGCTGTGGCGAAGTGGCCTTTCACCCAGGCTGAAGACATTTGGGCTGGTAATACCAAAAGGGAGGCCAAAACCGAAAAGGTTTTGACATGGGCTCTTTCTACCAATTATCCCATCTAGGTCCGCCCCAAGTGCAGTTAGTGCCAGTGCGACTACGCCCTAGGTTCTATAGTTCCCCCCAGAACAAAAAACTCAGGTTCAATAAATATTTATCCTCACGCACATTTTCGGTTTTGGGCACCCAAAGTTCGGTCTTTTGGTACTACAGGCCCAAACAACTTCCGCTTGGGTGAAAGGCGCCTTCGTGCTTGGCTTGTTTTTACAGCACAAGGAATCTGGCGCCGTTTCTACACCAGATTTCAAAAACCGGTAGGGGTACTCTTTTTCAAGATACCATACTTGGGCCTCCTCCTATCCATTAGGGTACCAACCTCGGCCTCTTTTGCATCGGAATGCATCTGGTGCTGTTTATGTGCCAGATTCATCATCCAGCAGGGCCCTTGGAGGGAGGCATGGGCCTGTAGTACCCCACAATGCCCACATGGAGAGGTTTGGGCATGTGGTACCAAAAGGCCAAACTTCAGGGGCCCAAAACCAAAAAGGGTTTTGGCCTGGGCCCTTTCCACCAATTATATCCCTCTTTTCTCTGTCTGGTAATACAGAGAAATAACAGTGGACTGCGACTGGCCTTCCAGCTTGGTTTGTGGACCAAATCTATTCCTATCGTGCTGGCAGCAGCGCTTTATGAATAGCTGAGTCAGCAAGATAACACCGGGCCCTCTTTTTGTCGTTGTTTTTTTCAGGGCATACAAATGATGTTCCTTTTTTTTTTTTTTTTTTTTTGAAAAGCCCAGGTTGTTGTAGAGGTGGAATACTAGACAGATGACAGTCCCCCACAGTAATAGGTCATTCTGTTGTCCACTGGCAGATGAACCCCTCCTAGGGCCTCTCCACACCACTCTTTTTTTTTTTTTTTTTTTTTTTTTTTTTTTGAGAGACGATCAATTTGTTTATGAAGGGAAAAAAGAGGGCCGGGAAAACCCTCACAAACAACCCGGTGTAAAAACTGGGGTCATTACCCAGGAGTCGGCTTCTGGAAACAGGGCCCAGTGTCCCTTAACGTCAGATCTCTCAAAAGGATGACCTAATATGTCTCAAGGCTACTATTCCATCAGACTTGCCCTTCTCTAGGGGAGGTGGCTAAAACGCTCCCCAAACCCCCGGGGGGCAAGCAACCAGGGGCAGAAGCAAATCTTATCTTTCCTATTCAATTTCAACAGACTATTGTTCCTACCCCATGTGTCAAGTAGCCATCTTCTAGTTGATATCCCATTCTTTGAACTCTGCCTGTGCCTGAACCAATCACTACTGATTGTAGTCCGAATGTGCTGGGTAATCTTGATCTTGATAGCCGCATCTGCAGTGAATTCCCTTCTGAACAACTGATTATTTCTATCATCCCAAATCGTTTTCATAATAATTCCTCTGATTGACTGGGCGACATATAATCAGTCTGCCTCTTTTGCATTACCTGTTTGATGTATTCCTGAGACTATCCACTCATCAGACCAATCAAACTCATCCTTTGAAATCCGTTTCCAGTGATGTTGGAACCAATCCCAAATCCTTCTAGAAGCCGGACAAGTCAACCAGAGGTGTCTGTCGTTCTCCCACACCCATCCGCAACGAATACATTTCTCTGAAACCATCATGCCCCTCCGGACAAGATTCACCGCCGAGGCTGTTCCAGAAAAGAGTTGTACCCAGAGTAAACTGGCGAGCTTCTGGGAGGGGAGGCCTCTGAACTGATGAAACAAGGAGTCAATTTGTTGAGTAGATAACGCCAACAGGTCGTTCTTCTGCCTTCGTTGAATTAAAGAGTCGCATGGCGGCTTTTTCACTTTGGCTCACAGAAATGAAGTTCCCACCTTGGTTGTATATTGGCTCAAGTTAAACATGTCCTTCCCGACTGTCCATCCCATTGTCCGGAAGTCTACGGCAGCATCTTTGAACGGTGTAGGGCCCTGCGGTAGTTTAACAATCCGTATCAAAGTACCCCCCGCAGGTGCTTTCTTCTGAGTAATCTCTGTGGCTACCTCCACCAGATCAGTAATAGAGTCCAGTCTAACATTGGAGTTAGGGGTGAGTTCTAGGGAGAAACTAAAGGTATCCGACAGCGTCCATTTTCTTGCGGCGTAACCGTCCGGTCCCAGGTCATCTGTAATCTGAAACACTACCCTTCCCGAAACGGTGCAGTCCCTCAGCCACAGACCTCCTGTTGGAATAAGGGTTTCTGTCAACCCTTTCTTCTCTGAAAGGAAAAATGTCCAAACGGGTTCGACGTTAGTCAGAGTAGAGCCTTTCAACATGGGTGGAAACAGCCAGCCTGCGGCGGGCCGAGTTTTAACATCTCGGAATGGAGGTGGTGAAAGAAGGGCGAGTTTCGACATTTGTCAGGGTCGGGGTACTGACACTCCTTCGCCTTCTCTTCCTTGCGTTTCGACAGCAGTGTAAAAAAACGCAGCCTTGGAGGTGAGCAAAAAATAAGAAAAAACAACAAAAAAAAAGAAACAAAAAAGTTTGTCCGTGTATCTTTTCACTTTGCAGGCCAAATTCAGTCGCATACTCAACGCCTTGAGAGCAGCTCCACAAGGCCCACTGCTCTCCCTACATTGGAACCTCGGGAAACGAGGCTTCGACAAATTCCCCGCCTCCGCCACACAGGAATGTAGAAAGAGGCGCAATGGGTGCAGTGCCTCGACATCCCTTGTGTTCTACATTGGCTGTGTGGCGAAGGCGGGTAATTTGTCGAAAGGAAGGAAGTCGAAAGAGTCTGGACTTCCAAGTCCCAAGTTCCAACTGTGAAGAGTTTGGACTTGTGCTGAAATCGGGCAAGATACCCAATCACAAGTTTGAACTGGGGGGGAATCAGAGGAATCAGATGATAACCCGCTGATTCTTT